TTACAAAGCCTAACAATACGTCACTTGTCACTTAATTTCAATCACGTTTTAATATCATATTAATTTAGACAAAACAACATCGAAGCTAAGGATTTGATATTATAATGTTTATATAATAGATTAAACCGACAAAATAATTAATGACTAAATTTGATGCTAATTAGTACAAAATTTTGGGAAGCTATAGGTATAAAAGTAAATAGTACGGTTGCATGATTTTGGGTGTGGGACTTTTGGTGACGCAAATTTCTGTAGTATACAGAGTTTTGAAAGTGACACACAATCATAGAAAGATGGAATGGGCATCTAAGCTTTTGTGAGTGAGATATGTGGGGCTTTATTGATAGTGACATTGGATCAATCTCATGTGCACACACTAGACCCCCACACACGCAAAAATCGTTATAATTCATATTAAGTTTCTGTTTGTCTACCATTATTGTGATGAAAATAGTGCAATGAATAGTATTTTTTGAAGAATGTGTGGTTAAAATTGAAAGAAACTTTATCTGTTTATGTGTAGATTATTTTATTATTTGAATGTGTGGTGGAGATTGATTACTGTAGAAAACAATATTTTGAAAAATGGTAGACAAATAGGGGCTAAGCAGAATCATTATTTCAATTTTTTTTCATATACTCATTTTCAATCATACGTTTACATAATAAAATATTTTATACGTGAATTTTTTAATCATACATTCTTAAAAAATCATTATTGAAAACTAACTGGGGCTAAATGGTCACATCATCTTGCTCGTTCACTTCATGAAGTTAGGTTTTACTTTTTAATTTGTACCGAAAACTATTGCGTGATAGTTGTATCGTCGTTAAAAATTGATTAGCTATTATAATAGGCGGACACCATTTGCTCTAATTTGTTATTAAAACAATAGTGCAATCCCTCAAATCATTCCTCTACGCACAACTTTCTTTTTCAAGATTAAACTTGTTAATTTCATAAAAAAAAAACATTAAAAACTTCGAAGTCATTATTGGTTGTTGGTTTTACATTTAGCTGACATCTATCAATGGTGCACGCACATTTGGTTCGGTGATAAACAATGGTAAATTAAAGAGTGTAAAAGCAAGGTACTAAAAGATTATTCATTATATATATGCCAAAAAAAAAAAGATTTTAGAATGAAGGTTGAAAGAAAAAAGATACCAAACTTATGTGGAAGGACGTAGTCACGTAGCTCATTAGGTGTAATTATTAGTATGTGGATCAATCACAAAGGTGTTACCCCTAACTACCAACCATTGTCAAGTGCGAAATATTGTTTATAATTATTGTTTATAATAAGTCGTTCCCAACAATGTCACTTCATGTACTTTGATGGTTCAATCTCTCTATGCAGAAGAGATTGCTCATGCTCAACCTAAGTTGCTCTCTCTCACATACATTTTGTATAGCTATGTTAGGTGTAGCGATGGTAATCAAGTCGAGTGGCTTGTCGGCTAGACAAAAAGGGGCCCGAGCACGAGCCGAGCCAGCTCGCCTAGCAAGCCCTCGAACCGGCTCGGCTCCTGGCTCGCAAAAAAATAAAAATAAAAAAAAATAAAGGGATCAAAACGGTCACTGAAAATTCAGTAGGCAGAACGGTCACTTAATTTTTTTAGCGACTGTTTCGGCCCCATACATTTACAATTTCATTTTCCCTTATAAATACCAATCCATTTGACCAATTTTTTTCACCAAACTAACTATCAATCTCTCATTTTCTACTCTACTCTCTACATTTTGTTAGGTTTTAGATTACTTGTAATTGTTGATTCTGTGAATAAAAGGATTGAAAGTGACATATTGTAGTAGTTCAAGGAATAATATGCAAATATGTTGAAAATAAGGTTTTTAGGTCTAGGGTTTGAGAATGTCAAAAGGAGGAAAACGGCGTGAATTTTCGCTGACCTGTCGCCAAGGTTTGGCTTGAGCTACAAAAGCAGAAACTTCATCACTTGACTGTCGCATTGCCTTCGCTCAAGCGACAGTCTGCCGCTAAACCCTCACTCGAGCGACAGCTTTATTCGGGAAGTTTTTATTTCGCGTTTTAAAGACTTTTTCAATTGCCCATTTGTTTTAGACCCTATATATAAATACCAAAACAGTTCTGTACAAATTTGATGAGGTTGAATATAGAGAGAAAAAGGTTGCAGAGTAAATCCTTCATGTTTGACTCTTTCAACCTTCATCTGTGAGTGTTTTGGTAAGAAAAACATCAATTCCATAATCCAAATACAAAATTGTTGTTCCTCTACATCGATTGCAAGATAAATATGTAGAAATTGCATGTTGTCAAGTAAATGATATTTAATTTAACCATAGTTATCACAAAATTTTATTTTAATACCTTTATAATTTTTTTAAAAAAATTGTACACGTAACAAGTTGTTCGTGTACAATTTTTAACTCCGCCTACTCGAAATTGAAGTAGCCGGCCCCAAACTTGGATAAATTAGGAGGGTTTGTTTACCTTTTTTTTTAATTTTAAGAAGGAAAATTATTTTGAAAAATGTATATTTCAAAAATGTTTAGAAAGTGTGTGTGTGTGTGTGCGCGCGCGTGTATATTAGGTTTCTTATAGTGTTATATTAAAAAAAAGAGTCGAGCTGAGCCGCGCTCCCACGAGCCGCGAGCTATGGCACGAACAGAGCTCGCCCATGGGTGGAAGCTCGGCTTGTCATGGACGAGCCACGAGCTTAGTTCGTGGGAGCACGAGCCGAGCTCGCGTGGGTAAGGGCCGAGCCATTGCCACCCCTACCTCAAATCCATAAAAGCTTTCTTTCTGCCACCCAAACTGTCCTAAACGAATTTCATCGATGGCGGAATCACGTTGTTTTCTCCCTTCCTACTTTCAACTGGCCTCACAATACAAAATGGGAGCCCAACAGCCCTAAAATCGTTCGATTGGTCGCGACCTTAGGTGAAAACCCGAGCCCTATCGCNTTTTCTTGAGTTAACCCATAACCCAACCAAACTCGACCCGCCTACATAGCCAACCCACCCAACCCGTGTAAAAATAACAAAAAAATCGACCCAACCCATCGGGTTGGTTCGGTTTGGACGGGTTCAGTCGGGTTTTGCCCACCTCTACCCATGAGTGGCGAGCTCGGGGCACGAGCGAACTCGTGTGGGTAAGGGCCGAGCCGATGCCACCCTAGTTAGGTGGGCTTAAAGATAGTTTATTTTGAGAAATGATAGTTATAAAGAAACATCGATGAATCTATCTTGACTCGAGGTATGATACAAGAATCACGATGAGTGCACTTCAATTATAATGCAAAAATATTTGTATCGATGGAGCACAACTAAGATTTACATTTTTTAAAGAAAAAAAATAGAGTAACGCTTCTTAACTTTTCAATTAGTGTGATATGATACTTCAACCTTCAAAAGTGAGGTTATAATTCATATCCTATTTAAAATTATAAACGTGGATCTGCATGTGATAGAACTACAAATGTGGACTTTAAAATTTCACGCCAAATTTAAGTTGGAGGACAAAAATGTCAAATCACGTAACGTCAAACTCTAAATTACGTGTAAGTTAAACATTCAAATTGACAGTTTCCATTACATCAGGTTCCAAATTCATATATTTAAATATGTCAGGGTCAGGGAACCAAAATTAGCTTCCATAAAGATTGGGGATTACAACTCTAATTATTCCTTTTTAAAAGCAATACAATTACTAATTTATATGACTTTTGTAAATATAAGGTCAAAAATGAAATTACCTTAATTTCTTTGTAAGATTTTCATATAATGGTCTGGGCCTCAGAGGTCGTGTAGTAGATTTGAATGCAAACTTGAGCTAGATAGTCGGAACTAAAATTTGGGTTGGGTCGATCATCTCCTGTCATTCTTTGGTTATCCTTGCTACTGGCCATTGTCCTCAACCCTTACACATGTCAGCACTTAATCTCTAATAAGTAAAAAATGAATATCTAATTATCTCCAAGTGGTTCCAATGTGTAATTAAAGTCCAAAATTTAATTTGAATCGCATTCCATTATTTTTTATCCAAATCAAACAATGACTAAATATAAAAGAATAAATAAATAAGTCAAGAGCTTACTTCTCTAATTAATTTTGAGCCAAATCGCTAAGTGAATCTCTATTGCAGTCATTGGTTGATTCTCTTTCCTTTTTGTCTTCCTATCATTTTGTCCTCAATCGTCAATTGGGATAAAACAAAGAGTGGTTATATTGCCACCACAATTTTTATTAAATACACCACATTTTAATCGCAATTAAACTCATCAATCTTTGCTCATCGTATCAATTATTTTCGTAAATTTTTTCCATCGAATTTATATTTTCAACCTTCCATTAATTAATAGGTATCATCCTTGATGATGATATACATCAAAATATTTTGTTTTTGAGGTTTGAAATGAGGGAAAAATATTTTTTCGTACTTTTATTTTTTAAAAGTATGATGAAAAAACAAGTTGTTTTACGTCATTTCAACGAGCTTTTAAGCATAAAACTGTTATCAAATATAACATGTGTTAACTAATTGAAAGTTTGAGGGTAAGAATGACATGAAAAATTGTTATGGATATAAGTGCTATAATGAGCAAAAATTAAGAATGTTAAGTGCAATTAAAATGTGGTTCAGAAAATAAAAATTGTGGTGCGAATTTACTCTAAAACAAAATACAACAAATAAAGAAACATTAATCAAAACAATCTCTATATCAATGAAGAGAGAGAGAGAGAGATACAATGTGAAACTTTTGTGGGCTCGACCTTGTATAGTTTATACTTAGCCCTTGTTATGTATGAATTAAAATCTAAATTTTAATTTAAGTTAAAATTAATAATGAATTTTAAATACATTTCATCAATTTTATCAAAATCTAATAGAAATCTGGTTTTAATCCCCACCAAATAGAAGTTTAGCATTATCCCTCATCATAAGTCAAATTAGTCAAAATAAGTTAACTCGTGATCATGTCAATGCTGCACATAAAACGCAAGAAAACAGAAACCCTTATCTTCCTACTCTACTCTCCCATCTCTTGATGACATCTAACAAAATCTCATTCCATGTGTCGATTGCCCCCGGTAAACACCAATGCACACAGTCATTCGGTACACGATCGGCAATTCCGTTAGCGAATGGAAAGGGGTTCATATAAGGCCCGGGATGCCCATCCGGTCTCAACAAAGCCAATTTTGTCACATCCAATGCTTCAAATCTTATGTTACCGAATTTCTCAGCCTTTAATTTTGCAAAATTCACTCGTTCCAATTCTACTTTCCTCATTTCTAAATCCATCCCTTCAAGCTTCTTCTCAGTTTCATCATAAGGCTTAATCTTAGAACATGCCCCAAATTGGTCCCATTCCCCTTCAAAATGTGCCGGTGAAAATGTAGTCAACACCACACTAATTTCACTCCCACCGGGATCGGATCCTCTTCTTTCTATGACTGTTTGAAATGTAGTATTCAATGCCTTGCCAAAAACATCATAGAATCCAATTTCTGTACAGTTTTGACAGTAATGACAACCTAGTACAGAATCTCCATAGTGATAATATGCAGGATGTAAATACCAATGTCCAACCGACAAAACAAGAATGTCTATATGATCCATGTCTGAAGCCCATCTCTCATCCACAGAATCCAAGTACAATGTGTTGAAATTGTTTTCGAGGGTTTTCTCGATACCTCGTACTAGAAATGGAGACCAATAAATCGATATATTCATATTATGAGAAGGGAAATTCCATTTCCTAAACTTGCCTTCACCATCCGTGTAGAAAAGATTAGGGCTTGAGGCAGTGGCCACCAAACACAGCAATGATTCCAATTGGTTTCTGGCCAAGGAGTCCCCTACGAAGGCTATGTGCTTATTTTCGAGGAGTTGAAGGAAAGTTTTGGGGTCAAATCTGGGGAGTTTGCATTCTTTAGGGGTCCATTTCCAATAGAGGTAATCCTTGTCTGGCCTGCCAAAAACCATGCAATTTTGGCCGTGCTTAATTGTCCCACAGGTTGTGCCATTGTATAAAGGGCCTAAATTGGTTGGATCCCATTTCCCATTGCTGTAGTCACATGATGTTCGAACACCAGTTTTTTTCCTCTCTTCTGCAAAAGAACAACATGAACTTGTTTGTTCATACATAAACGACATATGAAAACAAAGCAATTAATGTATGATAAACAAGGAGCATGACAAGGGCAGATTACGTTTTGAGCAGGAAATTTTCCTTTAGTTCGGGCATATCGAGGTCGAATACATTGTCCCCTCTGGAAAAAAATATTTTCTGATTAATTTATTTCTTGTTAGGATTAGAAAAATTCCACCAGTGAGGTTGTTTGAAGAGCAAAAAACCCTAAAGAAATGAAAAGCAAAAAGAGTCTTATGGTCCTCAAAATTTGAGGAAGAAACCAATGTAAACCCTCCTTCTTTCTCCGAACTTGAAACCAACTCTATAAAACACATAATGAAAACACGAATGCTTCAAAATACCAAAGATTACATATATAATGCTATAGGTCAACATACCTAGCGAAATAGGAGGAGGAGGAGGAGAAGAATGGACGACGACACGATTGTTCCAATATAGCTGATCGGTGGGAGAAAGAGAGAAAGGGTCGAAATATAAATAAATGAGGGCTACAGGAAGAAAAGCACATAATGTATAAGGCACAAACTTCTTTGCGAAAGAGTAAGGCTGATCCTTGAATGGATTAGTATTTGATGACCTCATTTCACATCTTCCTGTATGTTTTGTTTTGAACTGGTTTTTTTCTTTGTAATTTGTATTTTGAGAAAGAAGAACACAAATGGTAAGTCTGCCAAGAACATATATACATATATATATATGCATAAATGTGTGTGCATATATCTAGAAAGTGCGAGAGAGATTGGTGGTGATTGAGTCAAAGTGCATGTCGAGAATCCCATGATATTTGGTTGGCCAACTAATTTTTCTATCTATATTGGTGGTGAGAGTGGAGCTGGAATGATTTTCATAATAAATAGGCATCAATCAAGCCTACAAAGCGATAACACAACAAGAAAACCGAGTGAAGGCACTAATTAGTAGATTTGGCTGAATCTCAATTGAGACAGTCCATATAGTTTAGGAATTTTATTTCAAATTATTTACAAACTAGTACGCCATGTCAAACTAAGTCGCGATTAAAAAAATGATGCCTGTGAAACGAAAAACGATTTAAAGTTATATTGAATTAAATATGAAACTTTTTTACGTAATCCCCTATTTTCTCAATAACATTTTTGGCATTGATCTAAGGTTCTCCATTAAACAATATAGTAGAATTGCCGAACAAAGTTGTGTTTCTTCATACCATATTAGTGTGATGTATGAGTTAGCGCCATGTGTTCACGATGGAATTTAATAGTGACGTGTAGGATTTTAGGTTAACATTTCTAGTCAAGTGACTGTTAGTGTAACAGTTAAAAACTTGAGTAACTATAACTATAAATAAAATTATATTTTAATCCTACTTGATTAATCAACTCAATCAAGTCTCAGCGTCTATATATCATTATCTTTTTTTATCAAATGTTTGAAAAGATTATTTTTCATAAGGAAATTTCATAAATACAATAGTTTAAAAATACAATTTTAAAATTAGCGAACTTATAAAAATATTTCAAAAATCAGATGGTTACATAACATTTGTCACTTCTTATAGATGTTGTGACCTAAATTGAGATTATATAGGTCTAAATCACATAGAAATTACATAAGATGACCGTCATATACCACACGGTTTATGAGTCACAACCACATATTAAATTACAAATCACGTAATTGACTGGTCACGCTCATTAATTTTCCTTAGCACAAACCACACCTTTTCTCTTGGCAAAAAAGTAGAAAAAACAATCACCATGGCCAAATTATCCACCAATGTCGTCGTGTTATCCTTCCTTTTCACCCTCAACTTGCCTGAGCCCCACTAAAACAACTGGAAAAAGGTTGATGGCACCACTCTAAATCCCAACCCCTATCTCTTGCCAATGAGAGCTCCATTATTCGCCTCTGTACGGCGAAGATTCTCAATGCTAGCAAAAACAACCTCCCAATTGAACCTAATTCCTTGATCGTTCACTATGTGCCATTGAATACGATCGATCAATTGCTGGTTCTATTCGAGGACGAAGTATCCCGTCCGCAATTGTCGCTACCACTACCATCTCAACCATGACGACTTCTTCAAAATGAATTTCATGGAGAGGAGGGATCACATAGAGATTCCCTATGGTGACGAAATGATCGTTTCCTCCTATGAGAACAGCGAATTTGAGGAACCACCAACTTTCTGCGACGCACAAAAAAATTCCCTATCGGTGAATAAGACTGCACCACTAGCACCAAAATGATGGAGGAGGGTAGTGTGAATATTGTGGTCCTCCTAACACTATTGGATTTGTGCTATTTGTGTCATTTGGTATATGACTAATTATTCGGCCATTAGTTGCCTAGGTGTCACTCACCCATTGGTGGCTTTGG